CGGTCTCCATTTGGAGGATGTTTGTTTGTCTTGGGGTACTTAAGGAAATGTTGCAAGAAGATCAGGACGATTCTGAGATGAGCCAGATGAGCCCGTAGCGTGGAGTGTGCCAATGCACTCCACATTATGTATTTTTCTGAAGTCAGGTATATATCTCTTAGATTTATCTTTGTGAATGTGATGTATTGTACTGATTATCTCTAAATTGACTATGTAATTAGCATGATATCTGACTAACAATAAATTGTCACATTTGATATTAATCTGACTTACTCTGAAATTATTTTCTCAAGTAGATTAAGTGAAGGCGTGTTATGAGATGGAGCATGGGGCACATCAGGTGAGATTCTAGATTTCTGACTAACTGCTTGATTTTAGTTTAAGTTGTTATGCAGTTGCACTAACTGTGGGGGGCTAGACAAAATACTATTGAAGTATTAGCAAGCATGGGGTGGCATACTTTATAGTACTAGCCATAACCTCAGGTTATTGTCTCAGCTTTATTCAAGTTGTTATATATTTAGATTTACTTTAATGGGCTAGATAAAAACACTATCGAAATATTACCAAGCATGGGGCAGCATAGTATTATGTACTTAATAGTACTAGCCATAACCTCTGATTATTGTTCGAGCTTTAACTAAGTTGTTACATAGGTAACTGTAGGGGAGTAAACAGAACTACTATTTAAATAATGGCAAGCAAGAGACGGCCTATTTAATATATTAACCATAACCTCTGAATAATGATCAGACTGGTGAGTCTGTGATCGTGAGGTCCACGTAAATATACAGTCTTTTCATGTAATCCAAGTAATACTTTTTTGTTTTTTTAATTAATTAATTAATTAATTAATGTTGTTTTAAATTTTTGTAATGTTTATATCACAATGAATGGCATAATAGAGTCTGTTATTTTCTGGATAAAATTGTATGTTAAATAAACAATTGTAAGTAAATGTAGAATCCAAAAATGCAAATGTGACCAGAAGAAAGATGTTGTAAATAATGAAATGTAGAAGATATATACATAATTTTAAAACTAAAATAAAATAACTAAAAATATAGTACAAAATGAACAATAAACTACAAAAAGAAGCAAAACAATAAAATATGAAGAATTTGATATATAAATCTTCCTTCAACATTTTACACTTTATATCACAGAAGCCCCCTTCACACAGAGCGTTGATCCCAGAAAATTGCTAAATGTAAACACGTCCCGGGATTGGTCCCAGAATGGGGACCTAGTAACATTTCTGGGATCAGTCCTGGAACACACCCTATGTGAACAAAAGGCAGGTCAAATGCTGTGTGTAGTGAAATGCAGATCAACGTTCACAAAAAAAAAAAATGTCTGC